TTTGTATCGAGTAGGTGGAAGTTGGATCTGTTATGTTTCTCTTTTACTCTACAAAATTTCAACAAACTGTTCAAAGAATATATATATTTTTTAATTTAAATAATAGGAGTAATAGTTTAAATCATGCCAACACTTATGATCAAACTAACAATTATCTAACTAAAAACTAACATTAATTTAAAGTGGCGTCCCTCCTAGTTTTGAGTAGGTGGAACTATTGTATTTGTGTTCTTCTCCACACATAATTCAAGAATATTTCTAATTTCAACATTGTAAATGGCAATGAAGACACATTTCCTCGATTTGACTTTAATATAGAAGGAGCTTTGTATTTCTTTATCATAGGTTCTCACGTGATTTTCTTGAACGTAATTAAATAACTCAAACATTAACAAAGGCGAGAGACCAAAATCGCGTAATTATATCGCCTTATTAGACGTAAAATGCCATATGGTGTTGAATGACTATTTTTCTTCTCCGCGAAAAGAGAGAGAAGCAAACCGTAACGGCACATACTTCTATTTATTTGCATTGGGCTGTTGTTGTTGTTTGGTGTCAACTTATTATCACAATCCACCATGAGTTTAGATTTGAGACATAGGGTTCTAAGGCTTTACTTCTTATTCTAGATTGATATTTATTGTATATTATTATCCTTCAAACAATGGAGGCTTATCGTATATAACTAGTAGAGGTGTCAAATTTTACCCATAATTGTGTTACCCGTCCAAACTTTAACGGGTTGGGTCAGTGATTTTTTATTTGAATAATAGTTGGGTGGGTTGGGTTATGATCTGTTGTTTGACTCATTTTGACCCAAACAAATTTTGGACGGATTGGGTCATAACGCGTATATCAACACAACCCGTTTTGATCCTCCCAAATTTGCTTAGCATGTTTTTTAGAAAATTTATGTCACTTGGTTGAAGTTGTTGTCGTCATTGCGTCAGGAGACTGACATCGCAAGGCTCGTTAGTTGATTCGACACTATTTAAACAAGGTCCATAATGAATATCTGTATGCAAAATACTGAAAGCAAATTGACAACGGCTTCCACTATAATAACGGAAATTGGAAACTGACTTGAATTCACGGAATACAGACACACCTTTAACGGATAACAAGAAAACGACCACAGGTCACCGCAACATTAACTTGAGAAGCTTACAACATTGGACCAATATCGAAAAATCGAAGTCAAACTCTGTCTTTAAGGACAAAAAGAAAAAAGGACATGCCAATGCTCAGAAAACCAAGCAACATTTGCTGAAACGAAATAAGTCCATTTGGTGATGCATTAGAGTTGTCTGAATTAGGACCCCCAGGTGTAGGAATAGGTGCTCCTACTTGTGCTCTCACAGCTAAAGCCATGAAAACAACCATAATTGCTGCTACAAAAACAAACTTTTCCAGAGACATCTTTGCCTACTTGGCGGGGAAATTAAGGTTGTTCTTTAGTATCTGAATGTCCTAGGTTCTCAAGCAGGCTATTTATAGGAAATGCATGCAATTTGCTATTGTTTGATTAAATGAGTCACTGGCATTAGAAAAAGATAATTCATAGCAAACTCTTCTTGTCCTTTTCGATAGTTCCATTACATAAAACGCTTAATTACTGGTGAAAAATCGCCAAACGGCAGAAGCTGAAGACTCCGTTCAATTAATTAAGGATGTTTGCTGGCCTTAGTGGCCTAACTGTATTATAAAAAATTAGACTCGCCACGTGGGTCTATTAAATGGCGACACGTGTCAGCAAAATTTGAAGAAAAGTGAAAAATGGCATGTAAAAATGATATGTGAAACACCCTCGGGACCGATTATACTCGTACTGTGTTTGTTAGCCTCGGAACTGATCATCATGAAATAGTCCGGATCAGGTGCGGGAAAATATCTCATAATTACAAATGAGAAAAGAATCAATTAATCCCGGATTATATGGTATTTACCATCATTACACCATCAGTTACAAATCAATTATTAATAAACTCATAAACTCAGTTATGGAATTAACTCATCAGTTATGAAATTAACTCATCAATTACGGAATTAACTCATCAGTTACGGAATTCCAGCATTTACACAGCTGTTACAAATCTTCCAAAAGTAATGGATGGATTGAGTAAATGCTCATAATGGACCCATAATTCAAGGAGACTAGTTACTTAGATTTAGCCCTATAAATAAACATACTTTTATAGTATATTGCTCTCAAGTTAGCCATAGTTGAGAGCAACTATCAACTATGACAATTATCAAGTTAGCCATAATTCGGCTCATTATCCTATCAAAGATCATTATGGCAACTATCAAGTTAGCCATAATTCGGCTCATTATCCTATCAAGGATCATTCAATAAGAATTCTTTCTTTTCTGCTTTATTTTTATTATATTATCTGTCATTGAATTTATTTCTCACTTCTCTATCACGTTGTATTAACGAAATTTTATATCTTTCGGATTGAATCGGTTGCTTGTGGCCCGTCATATAAAATTATTGCTTTGACCTTGAAAACTATTTTTTGGGTTAAACACTAACCAAAGAGTATTTTTGCCCTTATTTCGTAGTCCGATTCCAAACATCCGTTAACTAATCAGAAATGAGCTACTTAATTACCAGTTACTGTTTGGATCAATTCCTTCCCAAGACAAATTAGTAATTTGGTATATTTGCTACCGACTCTCTTGGATAATCCGAATTGCAATATGTCCATTTGGAACGTTAATTGTCACACTATTAAGTTTATCTTCTTGCCTGTTCTTATTTTAAGTCAAGAAGACACAATGAGGTATAACCAAATGACTGTATGACTTGATCTGATTAACCATTAACATTACAACTTGCTCTCCCTATATATCTTCTAAATATGTTTTTTGAGATGAGTTTAAATTTTTTTCGTACGGACAATGTGAGAACTATTTACACGATGAAGTCACGTACAAGGTAATTATAGATAAATATATACAAAGGTGAATCCAGGATTTAAACTGTATAAATTCAACAATTAAGTTTTTTAAGATTGGAACCATTAAATTTTTAATTTTATAGGTTCATATCTACTATTTTTTGCAATTTTAATTTAGTGAATATTTTGCACATAAATTTATGTTTCGTATCAAAAATATTGGATCCGCCCCTGCCAATCTATCTATGATAAGTATTATAGTAGATAACCCGATAAATAACATGCTATAATAAGTTAAGCTATATATATTCTGAATAATGGTTTTGGAAGTTGCATTCAGTCTCTATATTACGCTTAGATTGTTGCACCATCCTATTTAACATGTACATGCACCGTACGTAGTTGCCCTTGTTTGGAAAAGAAATCTTGATAAATACCATCAGCTCTTCTTAGTCACCCAAGGGAAGGAAAAAACAAAAGGAAAAGGTCAAATACATAGACAGTCCATTAAACTTGACCCAATTTTTTATTGACATTTTAACTCAGCCTTGTTTTATTTTAGCCCTCCAACCTTATTTCTTTTGTTCCACTTTGACACAAAATCTGACTAGAATCCATGTGTGATTTGTCTCACCCTTGTAGGCGCGTGAGAGCCATTTTTAAGCCAAATTTTATACTTCCAACGTAGAGGCGGATCCAAAATTTAAATCGTATGGATTCAATTTTAATGTTTAACATTGAACTCATTATATTTTAAAGTTATGGGTTTATATCTATTTATTTTTTTACAATTTTAATGAATTTTTACATACAAATTTTTACTCTGCGTCGAAAGTTATGGGTTCAGTTGAACCCTTAGTTATTACTGAAAATATATATAAAAAATATTTTTTCCACGGGAGGGGGTAGAAAAAACAAAAAAATAATAATTTGAAATTACAAAAAAAAAATAAAAAATTGCGGGGTTTGGGGAAGGCAATGGGGTGGGCTGGGGGTAGCAACTGGGTATTTGTCCGCGCTGTATTTTTATCTGGAATAAAAGTTTTATGTCAAAGTGGAACAAAAGAACCCATTATATTTTTAAATGTTATGGGTTTATATCTATTTTTTCTTTACAATTTTAATGAATTTTTACATATAAATTTTTACTTTGCGTCGAAAGTTGTGGGTTCAGTTGAACTCGTAGTTATTACTGAAAATATATATATATATAAATATTTTTTCCCGAGATGTGGGCAGAAAAAACGAAAATAATAATAATTTGAAATTACAAAAAAAA